GGCCTCACCCTCCCTAGGGAGCAGAAAGGGGATGGGATAGGGGGTTTGGTGTGGATCAGGGAAGTATGGGAGGGAGAGGGAACTGGGATTGACATGTAAAACAAGCTTGTTTCCAATTTAAATAAAAAGGGAAAAACTTACTAGTTTATATAAAGGTGATATTTCATATTTACTCTAATATTTAATATAAATTGTATTTCTGACAAAATGACTGAGTATATTGACTTATAAAGGAATAAAATATGTACTGTAAATTTATTTAATATATGTATGTATATAAATGTTTTTGAGACAGATTTTCATGTAGCCAAGGCTGGCTTTTAAGACACTGTATAGTGAAGATGACCTTATATTCTTCATCCTGCCTCTTCCTCCTGAGTGCTGAAATTATAGGTATGAAGCATTTGTATGTGTTTTTTAATCAAACTTGTTGAGAACACTTTTTCAGAATTTTGGCTTTAATGCATAATCAAATGGATGCTTTTGACTATCTCTTAGGTGATATTTGAGGAAACATTCAAAGCTGTTTAATTCCTTACAAAGCCAAGATTGGTAAGTGTCCAGTTTCAATTAATCTGAGTGTTTCTTGATCAGTTGGGCACTTTTGTTTTGGTTGTAAGGAGGCATAACTCTACATTCGTTCATGCCATGGAACATTTGTTTTAATGATGCAAGGATGTGTTGCATCCTTTTAGGTTGCATTTGTTTAACTCTGTGAAACTGTTTTTTTTTTTGCCTGTGTAAAACACTTGATTGGTGTAATAAAGAGCTGAACATCTAATAGTGAGGCAGAATAAAGGATAAAGGATAGGTGGAACCGGCAGGCAGAGAAAAAAAAGAAGGAGAAAACTGGGAAGAAGGGTAGAAGGAATGAGAAAAGGAGGAGAAGAGGGTTCCAGGGGCCACCTACCCTCTGGTGATATTTTTTTATGATCTAACATAGAAAACTTGCCTGAAGATCAGAGTGCAGAGCTAGTCACACTAGTTAGCCATAGAGACCAGGCAATGGAGGCACATACCTTTAATTCCAGCACTCAGGAGACAGAGGCAGACGGATCTCTGTGAGTTCAAGACCACCCTTGGTTACTCGAGATTTAATGTGTCTGAGAGAGAAACAGAGCTCACACAAATGTGATCCAGCACTTGGGATCCCAGGCTTTTAATCCCAGCACTAAGGAGGTGGAGATAAGAAGGCATATATATGGCTGGGTGGAGAAAGGAATATCAGGTGGTAGGAGACAGAAGTTTATGGGTAATCTGAAGCAGCAGTCTGAAGAAGCCAGTCTGAGGTTGCAGTCTGAGGAAATAGTATAAGGAAGCAGGCTGAAGAGCATTGCAGTCTGAGGCAGTCAGTCTGAGGATGCAGTCTGAGGACTGGATGGCCCCTTTGATCTAAACACTGGTAGAGGTAAAAACTCTCCAGTGGCTGATTGCTCGGCTTCTTTGAACTTTTGGTTTCACCCCCTGATATCTGACTCTGAGTTTTTATAATTAAGACCAATTAGAATTTTTTCCAACACCACCTAGCCACATAGTCAGAAACAGAGTAAGAAGGAAAGAAAAGATATACACAAGTAGAGAAAACTAAAAGCCCCAAAGGAAAATGAAGACAAAGAAAAGTTGGCAAGAAACAAGCCAAGCTAAGGCGTGACATGCATAAGAAACAATCAACTTCCATGTGTATTTATTTGGGAGCTGGGTGGTGTGCTCCTCAGAGTAAAGAATAAAGATTAAAATACCCAACTATACTACAGGGTGGATGGTTTTAGAATTCTAACATTCTAGTAGTGGCAGGGAGATGATGGTCCATGGTAGGGAAGAAAATGTATTAGAGAAGGACAAAGGGGAGGAGGGTGGTATCAGAATCAAGAGCAATATGTTGAAGAACAAAAAGGAATTGAAGGGAAAAGTACAGACACAGTGAGAAGGAGTGTCATAGAGGTATCAATGTAGACAGTAAATGAGATATTCTAAGGAGGCCATTGAAGTTTCAGATTATTCCTCATGGATATATGAAAAGTGAAAAGAGTCAGTAGAGTTGATGAATATAAATTTGAGAGAAAGGAAGATCCTCACAAGGGGAAATAAAGCCTATCCTTGAAGTTGGAGAAGAGATTCCATTCAAAACATCCCAGCTTGGAGGTAGACTGGAAGAGTCTACCAGAGTCAGGAAGAATGACTTTTAGCTGTGTTTGGAGCTTCTGGGAAGGAAGCCCATGTTTCTAGCTCAATTGTGTTTGCTTAGGATATTAGCACAACTTATGCATTGTACTCAAATCCCAAGGACAAAAAGCTGTCATTCATATGACTCAACTGATTTTCCCTCAGTAGAATCATTAGAAACCCGACTTATCAATTGGTCTCAAGGCAAGACTTGATACAAAAGGCTCAAAAAATGTGAACATAGAATCCTTGGCAGGTGGTTGTCAGCACAATTATCATTTAGTTGCTAAGTTGTGGCATCATGAAACTTGTAAAATAACTGTAAAGAAACATTATCCAGGGGAAATATCATGGTGGTGTAGGGTAGTCATGGGGCTTTGTAGTAGAGCAGAGCAATTAGGTTCAAGTCATAATAAACGAATAAAAGTAGAATTGATAGACTGAGAAGGTGTGGACAAGTTGGTTGATGGATGAGTAAAGTTTAATAGGAAACACCAAGGTACAGGATGGCTTGGTTTGCTAAAGCTGCTTGCAGAATATAGGTCAAGTTGATCAATTATCAACTAAGAAATTGTAGAACATTTAACATTCTACTTATTACTTGAGGTAATCTAATATAAGCAATGAAGAGATTTGGTTAAACCAACCTAACAAAACTCTCACAAAAATTGTACAATTAAAGATGAGCATGGGAGGGGAGAGTCCAGGATTAGTTGAGAGAAGACTTATAAGTGAAGCTGAGCAACATGCTAAAAAAATCTTTTATTTATTTATTTACTTTCTTCCTTACTTATTTTAAACAACAAAGTTTTTCTGCACTCTCCTATTTCCCTCACTCACCCTATCCACCCTGCCTCCACTGTTTCTCCTTAGATACAGACAAGCCTCCCATGGATATCAGCTAGCCATGGTATATGAAGCTGCAGTGAGACAAATGTCTCACTGCTGAACATTCTTTATCATTGTGTATAACTGCTATAGAGACCTAAAAGACAGACAGCTTCTGTATACAGCATGAACCAGATGATAATATTTGAAGGCTCAATAAGGAAGAGGTTAAGGAAGTAAAATAAGTGAACAAAGTACTTGTTCTTTTTTATTTAAGTGTGTGTGTGTGTGTGTGTGTGTGTGTGTGTGTGGTGTGTATACAATGTTCTGCTGGCATGTATCTCTGCAGGCCAGAAGAGGGCACCAGATTTTACTACAGGTGGCTGTTAGCCACCATGTGGTTGCTGGACCCCTGGAAGAGCAGCCAGTGCTCTTAACCACTGAGCTATCTCTCCAGCCCCAAAATACTTGTTCTAATAAATATTCTTATTGTTTGCTTTAATGGTTTCTTATGTAAAATTGTCATTGACCATATCAGTTTGGGTTTATGAACAGCAGGCATGTATTTATAGTTACCAAGCCTCTGTGTAGTATGGGAATAATTTAAATGAAGAGACTACCTTTTGTCACATTATCTCAATAACTGAGTTTTCACAAGGATGCATATTTTCTGTTTTCAAGCAAACATAATGAATATTCCATTAAGGAATATAAAAGTGGTAATACCATAATCTTAAGACTGATATTCCCTACATTCTAGTGACTTTGGTGCAGGAAGGTATTTTACACACTACCAAAAGACAAACATAAACACCAACCCAGCTACAAAAACTTTGCCTTACAATCTGTCCTGCTTGCAAGATATGCTAGGAAAATGTTGGCACAGAACTTGTGGGAGTAGCTAATAAATGTCTGATTTCATTTAAGGCCTACTCTACAAGAAGGAATCCATATCCAGAACTGCTAGGGTGACTAAGAACCAGAGACTGGATAGCTCAGAACCTAGGGGATTTTCAAATACTACAGGTCTAAAAATGTATGAATAAAATGACTACTAATGATATTCTGATATACTCACAATTAATTGCCTTATTTAACTATCATTAGATAACCTTCCTCCTGAAGCAGATGAGAACAGATGCAGAAAACCACAGATATCACACCACACACACACACACACACACACACACACAGAGAGACAGAGACAGAGAGACAGAGATACAGAGAGACAGAGAGACAGAGAGGGAGAGAGGAGATTCCTTGGAAACACTTCAAAATGTGATGTCTCCATCAAATTCCTCCCCTCAGAGCTCAGGAAATCCCACAGAAGAGGAGGCAGAAAGAATGTAAGAGAGAAAGAGAATGGAGGACATCAGGAGAACAAGGCCTTCTGAATCAACTGAGCAAGGATTATATTAACTCACAGAAACTAACGGAGCCAGCACAGGGCCTGCATGAGTCTGTACCAGGTCCTCTAGGTACATAATATAGCTTTAAGTTTAGTATTTTATGGAACTCCTGAGTGTGTGAACAAGTATGTCTATGATTCTTGTGCCTCCCCTTGGGCTGTTTTCATTATGTTGGGTTGCCTGCCCAAACTTTAATGTGATGGTTTTTGTTTTATCTTGCTATATTTTATTTTATCTTGTTTGGTTGATATCTCTTAGAAGCCTGTTATTTTACAATGAGACACAGAAAATGGTGCATCAGGAGGAGAGGGAAGAGGTGGAGGGGGAGAAAAGGAAGGTGTAAAGGAAGGGAAACTGAAATCAGGATATATTTGTGGGGAAAGAATCTATTTTCAGTAAAAGAAAAGACTGATATTGCCAACTAGGAGGAACTAGGAATGCATTCTATGCTTACATTAATATTAATGTCTAGTCTTAAACATCAAGAAATTTGCAAGGATGATTCTTTGATCTTGATGAATATGTGAAAGACAAAGAGTTAACTCACAGTGTGGATCCTTATTGATTCATTTTGCTTCATTTTCATCACAAATTGGATTTTCATGAGATTAAGCATCTTTGTAAGCCTTTTTTCTGACACAGTTTCTCTAGTATTATGTTTCTTATCTGTTGGCTCTTCATACAGTATATGATAGGATTCATCACTGGAGGCACAAGCAGGAAAATGTCAGCCATGAGGATCTTAGATATAGGAGAACTAAGGTTGGCAATGCGGTAGATAACAGCAAGGGAGATGACTGGAACATAAAAGATGAGCACAGCACAAATGTGGGAGACACAAGTACTGAGGACCTTGAATCTTTCCCCTTGGGATGCAATGCCCAGCACTGCTCTCAGGATCAGTGCATAGGACAAGAAAATGAATGTTATATCCAGGATGCCAGAGAGAGCCACAAATAAACCATAGATGACATTGAACTTGTTGTCTGAGCAGGCCAGCTTCATGACATCCTGGTGGAGGCAGTAGGAATGTGACAACAGATTCTTCTTGCAGTATGTTAGATGCTTTAGACTTACAGGGAAAGGCAGAACCAACAAAACATTCTTGAGAGCAAAAGCAAGCCCAATTTGAAGGACCCTGGCACTGGTAAGGATGGAAGAGTATCTCAGAGGGTTACAGATGGCAATAAAACGGTCAAAGGACATAATGAGAAGTACAGATGATTCCATAGCTGAGAATTCATGAATAAAAAACTCCTGGGCAAAACACACATTAGGAGAAATTTCTGGAGAATTGAACAAGAAAACCTTGAGCATGGTAGGGAGAGAGGAAATGGATAGTCCTAGGTCTGAGAGAGCCAACATGGAGAGGAAATAATACATGGGTTCATGCAGAGATGGCTCTGATTTTATAAAAAAGAGGATAGTGCAGTTGCCAAGGATGGCAATAGTGTACAGGAGACATATGGGAATGGAGATCCAGATGTGTGCAGATTCCATCTCTGGGAACCCAACCAAATAGAAAGAAATTTCAGTGATGGAAGCGTTGAGAATGGACATACCAGCATGTGAGGGAATCAAGATGACAGCTTAATGCCTGCTTTGTCCTACTGAGACCTTCAAGGTTCTGTTAAACCAAAACATATAGTAATTATTCTTGGAAATAATCATACTAGTACATATTAATATCCAAATCCCATTAAAATGATCACTGTTCATATAAAAGGGCACTGTGAAGTTTTTTTTTTTTCTTGGAATCTATTATTTCCTTCTTTCATTTCTGTTTTATATCATGACTGTATGAAAGAGATCCTTGAGTGATTCTACATCTCCTGTTGTCTACTTAAACACATGCAGATTTAAAAACAATCTTCCCTTAGACAAGTTTTAGTTCATTCATTATGTACCTGTGTTTTTTGGTTCTATTGTTATTTTTTGCTGGTACCCTGGGTTAGCATAGTTCTTTCAACACTGATAGTATGCACTTCACTGTGCACTATTTAGGTGGAAATATACAACTCATTTGACTTTTTATGTTGAGCATTTTCTTGTGAACATTCTTGCATTCAGTTGTTTGATGTTGGCAATCATTAGCATATTAAATACAGTCTTTTGATATTTCTATTTAGTTGAATTTTCTGAGACATTTCAATATAATGCCTAGTTAGATTGCTTTGTGTATATTTTATATATATATAAAATTTCTTTTTAAGGAGTATTTATTTGTGCATATAAACTGTATAAAACAATTAGTTTCATTGTAACATTATGATGAGTGTCAGTAATGTAACATCTCATTCATTCATGTTGAATTTTGTTGCATTACAAAATTCATTAAAGTTTTTTGACATTATAATCTAGTTAAAAATATCTGCTTTCCCTTTCATCCCTCTGCACACACATATGTACCCCCTCCCTGCTGTTCTTCAAAGTATTGGCTTCTCTTTTCATTAATTGCTGTTACATATGCATGGGTATATATACATTTTAGTAATTTGTCATATTTAACAATTTTTTAAAAATATGTGTTTGGTTTCTAATTTATCTAAATTATTAAGCACTTCAACAGTTATCCTTCTTTTCTTCTAAAAGTGAATTATTTTAAATGACATGCATTTCTATTTACATTTAATAATCACTTTAATATTTTCTGTTCAACTTATTGGGAGGTTTTCATGCTATTTATAACATATTTTATTTTAATTTCTAAATTAATAGTTGTATACGTTTATAGGACAATGTGCTATGTTTTGTATATATATACGATAAATGATTATTTCTTCAAATAAATTACATAAAGGCAAACTCAGTTGTTACAACTAATGTTATATGTCTATCTTAACTGAGAATCCAGATCCATTAAGTATCTTAGTTCATAATAAAGAAATGTCTGTCCTGACCTGTGAATGTCAACTCAGAAGATAAGATACTGATACTGACCTGAAAAAGGAAAAATGTTCAATGGAAATCCGAAAATGTAGTACAAAAGAATGTTTTACAAAAAATGTATTTCAAGGGATAATTTCTACTTCTTGGTCCATATAGCTAAGGAGAGTTACTTGAAATTTTGGTTTGTTTTTGTTATTTTGATTTGCTTGTTTTCTGCATGATAGAGCCCTCCAAGACTGTACAAGGATAATTTTGCTAAGGTAAATGGAATATTAAGAGGGATGTGGGGCTTTTGCTGTTAGAGTCCCTCTCCTGCCAAGTTCATCTACAGACAGACCAAGCCTCACTCTTTCAGCTTTTTTTTGCCACTGACTCTACTTGTATTTCCTGCAGAAAAAGAGATCTTGTTTCCTCTCAATACATTTCAGTTTTTCTCTGGAAAACTGTACTCCCAAATTTAGTTTCTTAGTTAGATACTGATATAGTTTGGGGCATGTAATGACTGATTTGCAAAGTCTTAATTTTTTAACTTCTAAATCTTTTAGTGATGTTTAAGGTTTAGGTTTAAATTACTCTACACCAAATCAAATTAGTATCTTTTAGTTTATATCAAGTTTCTTAGAACTGTAAAACTATATGTTTAATAATCAACCTAGAAAATAGAGTAAGAAATTTTTACTCATCATTATCAATGTCTACTTATTCTAAATGACAAAACCTATGTTTATCACATTAAAAAATTCCTAATTTCATCAGAATATTTTTATGTTTACAGAAATTCCTTTTCATTTTGCTGTAAAAATAAAATTTCTAGAGAATTTAAAGGAAGCTAAAATGCTGCATGGATGATTTTCTAGTTCTATCTGTAGTTCAGGAGAGCTTTCATAATTCAACTTTCTAGTTTGTGTAACAGTAAGGAAAACAGTTACAGTAAGAGACATACATAGAATGTTTTGAAAGAGTGGAGTTAGCCTGAAGTTAAACTGAAGTTAAACATGACCTAATTTACTGTATTCTTTGTACTAGTAGTGGAATGATTCTTAATGAGGTCAATTTTGTATTATGAGGAATCTTTTCAAGTCTTATGTATCTTTGCTTCCATACGGAAGCAAGAATTAAATGGTAAAAATAATATTTGGGTAAGCATAAGCTGCTCCCCATAGTGTTCCTGAGTAAAGAAGCCTACATATTATGGTTCTCAGTCACTTACCTTAGACTGCGCTTAGATGATCTGAGATAAAGCTACCCCAGCATTGACTGTTGGTCCCATTATGAAAGGCAGATCCCATTTCTTCCTGTCTGAAACAATTTTAGTAGATCAAAGGCACTAGGTATGATGTCACACCATTCTATACTCAGAGGGACCAAATTGATTTTATGAAGGTGAAAGTCCATTGAAGAATGATTCAGCTCAATTCCCAATGTGCATGTCATTTGAATGCTAATGATTAAATGTCTGTGAAGCCACTGATGCTTCATGTACAAAATTTAATTCACTTTTTGTCTGTACTTTCAGAACTTTCTTAGAGATGGCCACATTATATTTTACTAGACAGTTTTGTTTGTGTACCTATAATTGAGTTAATTTATTTTTGTTTCTTTTTGATTAGTGAAACTGTCTGTGAATGCTGGCTTGACATTTAATCCACAAGGGCCCTTGAATTTCTTTAGGAGAACAGTATATATACTATTGCCCAAGTTTATTTTATATGTTTGATTATGAAATAAAATACACATGAACCCTGAAAATTATTCTCCATGTCTTATAGCATCAAATACTCACCAAAGAATGAATTCTTTATGTAAAAACAAGCAAACATATTGAGCTCATCACGTGCAAAGTTACTTTTATCTTTGACACTCTTTGAACTTATATATATATATGCATACATATATTCAAATATATATGTTTTGAAATAAATTACTTTGTGATTTACTCATCAATAAATGCTTAATTTTCACATTCATTTTATATGCATATAGACACTGCATCACATTAAAATTTCTCAGGTTAAATGAAGTTTCAAGTAAAAAAGCTGAAGGAGTTATGTTCTAGGCAGAGCAAGAGAACACTGGAAGCATCTATCATTACACTTTGTTTGCTGAAACTTAGATCCTGTGGTTGCATTTCATGCTGTGTAGGATACTATGTGAGTTTCAGTCATGCTTCATGGACAGATATCTGAAAATATGGGATGGCTAACTAATGATTACACAGCATATGTGAAAGCCAGTATATGTTTATTTGAAAACATACAAGCTCCCATTGCATTTCAGAAGGTAGAAATGACTGATAACTAATTCCACTTAAAACTTTCATTTTTGTTTTTTGTTTTTGCCACAGAGGCTGAAATGTAAACATAGGCAAGTGTCCAGATAAGACAAGTTTACTAATCTAACATCATAGTCTTAGGAAGGACAATCTGTAGCTTTGAACCCTGAGGAAAAATGTTTGTGGAAGGATTATCACTTTCCCAAAGTGATGAGTTACTAGGAGTTAACATTATTATCTACCTTGTTAATAGGAAATGATGTGGGGATCTCAGCATATCAAGTCAATGGGTGTCCTTCTTAGGACTTCATTCCTAAGGATTTCATGCCACAACCACTACAATTAGAAGTAATTGTAGTGATAATTATAAGCAGTCAAGGAACTGAGAATACATGCCCATAGAATGGTCAGTCATGAATAAAGTCATCCTTATCACACATTCCCCCCTGTAAATTCCAAGAACATGAAGGAAGAGGAGGGGAGAAATTTTGTAAGAAACAGAGATCTGGGAGGATTGTGGTGTAACTGTCTTCTGATTATGATAGGACCTATGCACTCATGTGCTCATGGTAACTGTTGTGCCTTCACAATATCTTACAAGATTCAATCACACAACATTCTAGCATGCAGAAGGAGGGTATCATGTGCTTCCATCTAACTGAGGAAGTAATATTAACACTTGATGTCTTCTACAGATGAGACAGTCAATTTTCCTTAGGAGTATGGCCCCTAGGTTAACAGTGCTCCATTGTATAGGCCCATACCTGTGTGCATATAGGCTTCACTAATTAGACGAAAAAGTGTTTGAGAACCACATTTCTGCTTCCAAACACCTCCTGCACCATCCTCTAAGAAGCTGAAGTTGGGATTCTCTAACTCTCATACTCTATTGGATTCCATGGCCCCCTCCAAGACACCAGACCTTCCCTCCAAAATAAAGAGGGACAAATCTCAGAAGGTGAAGACCTGCCTTGATAACCCAGCCAACCTAAATGGAATTTAGTGAAGGTTAGTTTAGTTGTCAGCACAGTCAAAGATCACCTGACAAGAGTGTCTCAGGGAAGGATTGTCTAGATCAGGCTGGCCTTTAAAGGGGCATGTCTATGAGAGACTGTTTGATTATGTTCACTGTTTTGTGAGGATCCAACTGAAAAGTGGGCAGCTATTCCCTGGGTTTGGATTCTGGTGTGTACAAAAGAGGTGGTAAACTGAGTAAGCTTTTTATTCCATCCCCTCTTGACTATGAATACGATGTGCTTAAATTCCCGCTGGCTTTGCTTCCTTTCTATGTAACTTGGAACTGTGGGCAAAAATAACCCCTCTTTCCCATTAAAACAAACAAAGAAACAAACCGATAAACAAACACATACATGAAGTAGGAAGGGGAGATGGGAAGATC